AGAGGCAGTAAGCGGGATAATTGCTAAATAATTTTGTAAAATAAATTAATTGATAAGCATTGAATATAAAAGTTTGCGATGAATCATTCAAATTCGGCCATAAACAATACTAACCAAAAAGCTACCTCATAGCACCCATTATTGCTGCATAAAATTATCATCTCTACACACAATTATTTATATAGATCTAAAAAACTACTTTACTTTCATGACATTTAGATATCATGAAAAATTACAAAATTTCATGGTTCCTACCAGTCAGTACATGGCTGATGAATTATTAGGCAAAAAATATAAAATAGTCAAAGACGAGAAAGAATAAGTAGGAGATAAAGGTGAATTGAAAGTGCAATGAATTGAAAGGTTTTGCAAATAAAATTTTGATGGAAGGGAAACTAAACTAGACGGTTGAAAATCTTTTGGATAAATATATTAATAAATATTAATTTAATTACAAAAAAAAACTCAATACATTTATTATTTTGAGAAAGGAGTTACAAATTTAAGTTTTATTTGTAAGTTTTTCAATGAGATATTCATTATTTTCTTTCAATCGATAAATCATAAATTTATTATTAGCATCCAATTGATTTTTTAATTCCACATAACTTTCTTGTATACTTTTAAAATCATTCTTGATTTCTTCATATTGTTTTGACAAATCCTTTTTAAATTTTTGTACAGGAATTCCTACTAATTCACGTAATTTGTCTGAGATTATAGGAGGATGTTCATATTTGTCTTTATTTTTATCTATAGATTGGATTTTTTGATGTATTTCTTCAACTGTAACATTATAATATCTAATATTGATAATAACCTCGTTAAATAAAATCGTCAAACAACTTGTATCTACATATACATATATATACACATATATGAAAACTTACATCAAATCAGGAAACCATGTTTGCCAACGTCGTTGTTGTGGAAATAAATAAAATAATTCTATTTCATGAATAATCTAAATTAATATATTAAAAAAATTTTTTAATTAATATATTTATTTGAAAAGAAAAATGAATTATTATTATTATTATCACCTTTGCTTTTTGAGCCAAGAATGCTTCTCTAGTATCATTCTCCTCAATGGCATTACTCAATAAACCAATAAATAGATTAAGTAAATAAACCACAATCAAAAATGAAAAGGCTACCATTAATAAGCTTAAATATGGATCTTGTTGATATGATCTTGATGAAAGAGCCAAATTATCACCTTTAAAATTAAAGGAAAAATAAATAATAATAAGATTTGATATTAATTAATTGTTAATTATAAATATGTATTTTACCTGTGAGAATGTTGTACATAGCTAACAATGATGTAGAAAATTCGGCAAACATGTTTGTGCTTAATTCAGGTTGTTGTATTAAAAATGGATTATTATCTACTGTTCCATTTGTGAATATTTGATAATATCTTGATACAATATTCCAAGGATTATTGCTGTCATCTGAATTTATATCTGGTATTTTCAAATCATAGTCATCTTTTGGTCTTAATTGTATGAATAATGCATGAGCAAAACTAAAAACTATTATAAATAAAATAACTAGAAATGAAAACACTTTTTTTGCAACACCTATCATGATTGCAAAATATTTTCCATAAGATTTGAAAGCTCTTAAAAATAACATAAATTTCAAATCCAATAATAAATTAGACAGAGACATCATCCAAGTTGGTGCACTATCATTTATTATCAAATGCAAAGATGAGATTACAGGAAATAAAAATAAACCAAAATCTAATTTTTAAAAAAAAATCATCAAAAAAAAAAAAAAAATTATATATATATATATATATATATAAATATAAATATTCTTACCAAAATAATTCCAAAAATCAAATAAATAATTTTTTGGACTCCATATAAATCTTTTATATTCAATTATTAGATGAGAAAAACCAAGAATGATTGAAATTAATAAAATTATGTTCCTTGTAACTTTATCTACATCATTTTTTAAAGTTGTGATAAATGAAAAAGATGCAAAAAATATTATAAAATATAACCAAATTCCTAAATAATATTTTAAAGCAAATTTATGCCATTTAAAATCTAATAAAGCTTCACCATTCCAGCTTTTAAATAATTCTTTACTGTTCATTTTAATAAAAGTATTAGAATCAGGTCTGTATAATAATTCTTTCCAAAATGAATAACAATTTGGATAACTTGTGAATTTTGGTAAAGGTACAACTAAACTTAAAGAATATTTTTCATAATTATTTGAAAATATTGGATAATCATCAAAATACTTTTCAATTATTTTTGTAAATTTATAATTATTATTATGAAATAAAAAATATAGGTTCCAAAAAAAATTATTTCTGTATAAATCAATGTCATAGCAATATCCATAATGACTTGGCAAATCTGATATAAAGATTTTTTTACAAGAAGGATCCAATAACATTGACGTTTGCTCAAGAAATCTCTTTACTACCCCAGGATAATGTTTACTTAATTTTGGTAATTTGTTTACTAAAAATGTTAATAATCCAAGATTCATTTCAGGATTTTGTTGTAAAAAATTTAGACATTTATCACAAACTAGTTCTACTATTGAACCTTTATGATTATCTAAAGCACATATTAAGATTTCATCAGCAAACATTGTAAACGAAGAAATATCTTCTAATATTGCTAATAACATATCTCTGAATGGATGCCTTGAAATGTTATTTCCACCAGCATAAGATTGGTCATAATTATCAAAGATATAATTATAGTTAAGTGGAGGTAATCTATTTAATTTTTTAAAGTTGGCAAAGCCTTCAGAAAATGATTGCCCTGAAGTAACCTCACTAATACAAGTTTGGTTATAATTAGGTGAAGGTAATTTATTTGAGGTTTTAAAGCTGTCAAACCCCTTTAAAATTCTACCTTTAATATATTGTTTGTCACTTTCATGTCTCATCCAATGTTTTTTCTCTTGTTCAATACAATCATTCCAAAAGTATTTTAAATAAATTTTATCATTAAGATTCACTGAAAATATCATCATACCTAATCTTGTGATTAATAATAAATCATCATTTTCTAATATTTTACACCTTAATAAGAAATGGGTGCATTGTTTAAAATAATCATATTCATCTAACTTAGCCCCTAAATGTTTTAATTTCAAATAACCTGATTCTTTATCATAATGATCTATTGTCCATTTAATTTGATTGTTATTTGATTCTAATTCGAATTTATCTTGAAAATAATCTGTAATTTCATCACTTAATAATTCGTCAAATATTTTACAAATACTCTCCAGTATAAATGGTGATAAAAATAAATGGTTGAAATTCTTTAGATGTGAATTTGGCAATTTAATTTCTTTTGATACAATTTCTTGTAAAAAAATAAAATTATTATCCATTACTTTAATTACTTTATTTTTTGCTAATTTTTTTTTGTGATGTTTTTTAATTAGATTATCTTTAAATAAATACTTTGTATAAATTTCAGTTATATCAGTAAAATTATTTAAATTATATGGATCCATGAATCTATAAATGACTGTGTTGGTAATATATTCGTCTTGTAATGCTACAAATAAATGCTCTGTGTTGTCTTCTGTGTATATAAAAACCATTTCATCACATTCGATTTTTACAAATGTAACTGAATAATTTTTAAGAAAATAGAAAGATGTTAGAAAAAAAGGAAACAATAAATAAAAAATAAATAAACAAATAGTAAACAATAAAAAAAATAGAAACCTACATGTTGTTAACTTGGTTCCATATGCTGTTGAATAAATAATTAATTGTTTTTCTACATATAAATAAACTGCTAATAAGGTCTTATCCTTGTTAAATATTGCATGATTATCATTATATTTATAGAAATTATTTGGTAATGAAATATCTGAAAAATATTGCAACTCAAATCTCATTTTGGTTAAATCCCATTGTGAAGCCATCATGATACCATTGTTGATCAATAAATTTGAATTTGCGATGACAAAATATTTTGCAACATTATTATTATGATCAAAAGCTGTTAGTTTTGGTAAAATTATGCTGTATGTTGTTTTACATGTTAATTCACTGATTTTTTCATTTGAATTCAATGAAAATAAATAAATTTGATCATTCTCATATGAAATTACAAATAGATCTCCATTTGTTAAAAATGTTGGGTGTTGGTAATCAATTTTTTTTTGATGATTCAATAATTTAATATGTCGTTTACTAACTAAATCAAATAAACCTAAAGTAAATAAGCAAATAAATTAATTTATTAATACAAAAAAAATTTTTTATTAATTTGTTAACAAAAAAATTATTTCATAAATTTTATCAACTTACAATAACAACTATCTAGATTAGATTCAAAAACAATAAATTTTTGGTCAGATACTGTTTTTATAGAAGTTATCTTTGGTATATTTGATGATTGACCATTTTGTTGTGATACATTGGAAGGACTAAAAAATGTTTCTGGTTCTAATCTTCTATCATTTTTCAAATGTACATCATCAACTAACCATCCAACAATTGAATTATCATCTTCACTAAAGGTTGCAACATATTTTAAGTTTGGTGAACAAATTATTGTTTTTATAGATTTCCCATTATGTGGTTTAATGGACTTTTGAGAAACTTCTTGTGTATTTACATCTGTGTTGATTTTTACTTCTATTAAATTATTGTTATTATAATCTTTATCTAAAATTCCTTCCATATCTATTACAATTAATCAACTTTCTTTTATCATTCATGTACTTTTTTCTTGTTTATATATTTAAAATTCTATGCAATTCAACCAGGTTTTGCCTTATGAATTTTTCTTTTTAAAGTTTTTCATTTTAATTATGATGCGCATACAATGTGTGTACCATACCTGCAAATGATTTCCAAATTTGCAGTTGAATTCAACATTATTAATATGCATGTCATTCTAACATTTTAATAACAACAATTCGTTATTATTATTATCATAGAATAATAAACAAATTACTTTGTTACGAAACAAACAATTCACAATTTATTGATCATGTTCTTTATTAATAATTTTTCATCCATTAAAAAATTAGTAAAGATAAATTGAAAAACAAAAAATTTATATTGTGATAAAAATAAATAAGACGCATTTATCAAAGTGTTATCCAATCGTATTTCGGTCATGTGACCTAGCCTCTTTTTCATTTATTTATATACAGCGATTATTTAAACGGAATGTTAAAAATTTGTGTATTTAACATTTTTATTATTCATTTTTTATTATTACAGTAAAAGTGTGCTTACAGATCGCCGAAGCTTTCTAGGTACAAGAAAGAGGCAGTAAGCGGGATAATTGCTAAATAATTTTGTAAAATAAATTAATTGATAAGCATTGAATATAAAAGTTTGCAATTAATCATTCAAATTTGGCCATAAACAATACTAACCAAAAAGCTACCTCATAGCACCCGTCATTGCTGCATAAATCACCATCTCTATACACACATAATTATTTATATAGATCTAAAAAACTACTTTACTTTCATGACATTTAGATATCATGTCCATGAAAAATTACAAAATTTCATGATTCTAATAATTATTAGGCAAAAAATATGAAGTAGTCAAAGATGAAAAAGAAGAAAGAAGAAATGAAAGTGCAATGAATCGAAAGATTTTTCAGATAAAATTTTGATCCAAGAGAAACTAAACTAGTTGGGTTGAAAATCTTTTGGATAAATATATTAATATTAATAAATATTATTTTAATTTTCACATAAATCTTAACCTTTGTAATTAATATAGTCTGAAATTGAAACCATAGATTAATATGTTTGTTGTAAAAAGTTTTGTTTATTTATTTACTATATTGATTATATTTTTTAATTCAAAAATTGATCAAGTGCAAGCTTTTTATAATAATTGTGTGATTCTTGCACAAAAATTTTCAATCAAATTAGTTCATTTTGAGTAATCTAAAAGATAGAAACTTAAAGTATGTCACCATGTAAAAATAATCAATGGTTATATAAAACCTGCAGCCTTTGCAATACATTTACTTTACTCCATCTGAATTCGATTTTAATTGAAGAAGAAGCTCCTATGACAAGCAGTTCGTTTTTGGTTGCTTTGAGTAATCCAAAGTTCCATGTAAGATAGGTATACAAAGTATGTAATCATGTAAAAATAATTAATGATTATATATGAAGCTTGCAATTTCCGCCTAAAGTCATTTTTAATTGAAAGAAGAAGCTCCTAATGACAAGTAGTTTATTTTTAGTTGTTTTGAGCAGTATAGAAGATAGAAACCTAAAGTATGTCATGTCATCATGTAAAAATAATTAATAGTTGTCATATATTTACTTTACATCAACAGAAGGATCTATTAATTCAGCCTAAATTGTCCTGTTTGATCATTTCTGCTCCAATTTATGTTCGCTGCCATATTATAAATGTATAGTTTGCCTGCAAAAAAATTTTAATAAAGTGACACATATGCATGTATAAATACATTAAAGTGATCTATTAATTCATTATGTTTTTGAGTCTCGTGTCTTTCTTTGTAAACCATTAATATTTTGACTAATTTATAAAATAAGAAATAAAAAGTATTAGATTAAAAAGACTAGAAAACATTAAACAGTTGCCAGGTATATTAATAGAAAATAAAAACACCTATTAATTATACATTAATAAAACAATTTTGATTTTCATTTAATCTCTAAAGCTAAAAAGAACGAGTAGAAACAATGATAATTAGATCGTCCCTATTATAATATATAAACACATGTAAAAAAAAAAAATAGCTGTCCAAGTATAAAAAATTTTTGGTGCAGTTACACATACTAATGCTAATACAAATTAATATCAAGAATGGCCGATATCTAAATGTATGACAAAAATTTGAATTCATCTCAAAAATAAAGAAATGATCGCAATAGGACTTGAAGGTTCAGCGAATAAATTGGGTATAGGTTTAATAGAACATAACTTGGAAAACGGTCAAGTTAAAATATTAGCAAATGTAAGACATACACACATAACACCACCAGGAACTGGGTTTTTACCACGTGATACAGCAGCTCACCATAGAAAATATATTATTCCAGTGATTAAAGAGGCATTGAAAACTGCAAATATAGAAATTAAAGATATCGATGTTATCTGTTATACTAAAGGTAAAAATAAGAAGAAAGATAATTGATGAAGTAATAATTTTTTCGCATATACACGCATAACAATAAAGGATTATTTATTAATCATTTAAAAAAGGGCCTGGAATGGGGGCACCTTTAGTGTCTGTTGCTATAGTGGCTAGAACATTGTCATTGTTATGGAATAAACCAATCGTTGGTGTAAACCATTGTATTGGGCGTAAGTTAAAAAAATTATAAGAAAGATTATTTATTTATTTATTTATTTATTTATACAAATAAGAATTTTGTTTATTTATCAAAATCTAGATATTGAAATGGGAAGGGAAATAACAAAAGCTGATAATCCTGTAGTTTTATATGTTAGTGGAGGTAATACTCAAGTTATTGCTTATTCTGAACATAGGTGAGAAGGTAATTGCATTCGGATAGAGAAAGAAGGAATATATATATGAAGTGTATTTTGGGAAGGAAATTAAAAGAAAGAAAAGGTTTCCTTTAATTATATTTTTAATTATTATTAAAAAAACATACATAATTAGATATAGAATTTTTGGAGAAACACTTGATATTGCAGTCGGTAATTGTCTTGACAGATTTGCTAGAATTTTAAATTTACCAAATGATCCAAGTCCCGGATATAATATTGAACAATCTGCTAAAAGGTAGATGATAAGCTTTAATTAGAAAGTTACATTTTTTAATTAATTATATATATTAATAATAATTAAGATAATTTTTTAGAGGGAGTAAATTTATAGAATTGCCATATACAGTTAAAGGAATGGATGTTTCATTTTCAGGAATTTTATCATACATTGAAAGCATAGCCGATGAATTACTTTCAACAGATCAATATACACCAGAAGATCTTTGTTTTTCACTTCAAGAAACTTTATTTGCAATGTTAGTAGAAATAACAGAAAGAGCCATGGCTCATATTGAAAGCAAAGAAGTTTTGATTGTAGGAGGGGTTGGATGTAAGTTTTTATCATTACATGAGAGATATATAAATAATGCATGTGGATATATAAATATATACATAATTTTAATTTCGCAGGTAATTTAAGATTACAAGAAATGATGCAACAAATGGCGGAACAGCGTGCAGGAAAAGTTTTTGCGACTGATGAAAGGTAAAAATTAAAATTTTATGATAAAGAAAATAATAAACAATCAAAGAATAAATTAATAACTGGAATATATATATATATATTTATAACTATAGATTTTGTATTGATAATGGGATTATGATTGCTCATGCAGGACTATTAGCCTATAAAACTGATTTTGTAACACCTTTTGAAGAAACCACATGTACTCAAAGGTATAATTAATCGGTCAATTGATTGATTAATATATTGCTTATTTCTTAATTGATTAATGATTATTTTAATAACAAATAGATTCAGAACAGATGAAGTATATGTTTCATGGAGAGATGCAAATTAATTGTTTAGTTATTAAATAAATTTGAACAGAGAGGGGCTAAACTCCTAGAGAATGCGTATTTTATATTCATTCTGCGACACCGAATTTACATATAAACAATGTCTATTTTATCTTTTGTTTATATTTTCATGGAAAAAAGAGACATTACTAGTGTTTATTACATTCCAAGGAAACAACATCTGTTATTCTGTTATTCTGTTATTCTGTCTGAAATTATTAGAACCCGGGTGACCAATGATGGTGCATTGCCTCTTGGTGTTTATTGTTGTTGTGATGAGAATAATCAACTTGACTTGCAAATGAAAATTCTTTGGCAAATATATCATCATCAATTTTTCAAGAGTATCCAATATCTTGCTTGATATACGTGAATCATAGGTGAATCCCGAGCAATTGCAAATAATACATGCTTATTATATATTTGTTTTTCCTGATATTGCAATGCAAATGACATCCCTAAAAATTTTTTAGCATTTCTAATTATTTAATTACTGGTTTAGAAAAAATTTAATGTAATTAATACCCTAATATTCAAATTATCTGACTAGTTTAACATTTCTTGAGTTCCAGATACATTGATCTATTAATGTGCTCCAAATATCAACGCTCCAATACTAAAGATTTATTTCATATCATGTCAATTTATTATACCGAACCAATCAATTGTAAATGTTAATGTGATAAATTAGAACCTGCAAGTTGCTAATACAATCATTACTATCATATGGAAAAATCAGAATGTCCCAGCTCTAAGAAATTGTTGTGTTTGTAAAAATGTTTATAACCAGACATTAATATAATTAATTCCTATAAAATGATTGCACAAATTTAATATTAATATCAGTATTCCTATGGTTCGGTTCGGAATTGAACTTAAACAAGCTCATGCCATTACATATAATACATAAATTATCTTTTTAAAATCTATGGCTAGACTTATGAGAAGCCAAGAACGAACCATTAATTCAACCCACGAAAAAATTTATTATATATGAATATTGTAGAAATTCAACAGTTTGGAACAACTTCAAGTTCTCGCTTGAAATAACAGAGGAAAAATAAATACACAATCAACATTCTAATAAAATAAAATCTGATAGAATCATTATTTTAAATAAAATAAATCGTTTAAAAATAAAAATGTTTATTTTGTTTTCTTTGTTTAAAGCGATTTGGTAAAAAGCAACAAGTGTAGTTATTGTCTTGGTAAAAAGCAGCAGTTGTGGGACTTTGGTAAAAAGTCCACATTTTGTTTTCTTTAGAGAGTAGACAAAAGTTAGGATTGGTGAGTGTTAGCGACAATTAGTGAGGTATTGTCCAAAGATTAATGGCAATTCTATTGTCAATCATAAAAGTAGAGCTCTTAATAAGCTGCTTAAGCTGTTTTGTAAATAAGTCAAAAGCGAGTTTGCAATTGGCAAATAAATGTAAACGACTGAAATATATCGGTCAAAGGTGAATAAATGAATTTATAAAGGCGTTCTAGCTTTGTAGAAGAGCTGTCTTTATTTATTTATTTACAGTTATATGGTACCATTAAGTGTTGTTTACAGATTCGTGTACAAAAAAAGAGACAGTGAGCGAGGACCAAAGTAAATTCGTAAACTAATTAATTGTCATGCACCAAATTATTGTGAATTAACTGACAAGAATGGCCCAAAAGTTAAGCCATACGTGTTAAATAATTGAAAAGCCACCTTGCAATACCACCATTTAACAAGAATCAAAAACTGTAAAAAGTTTATTATAAGAAATAAAATAAAGATAAAATAAAAGGATAAATAGTTATAATGAATGAATTTATAGTGAGGATTAAATAATCATTCATCAATATCTTTCCCTTTATATTATTAATAGAATCTAATATTTATAATTAATTAAAAATTATTGTTAGTAATAATTAATAGATAGTAGTTTCCAATAATTAGCAATGAAGTTTTTATTCACCTTCAGCATTTAAGAGAAGAGAGTTAAAATCAAGATTATTTAATGAACTATCATTACTTGTAATTGTATAACTTTAAAGCTTTTTGATTTAGCAATCTCCTCATCTAATATTCTACTTTTATGATATGCATCTGGGTGTGATTTGTGTACTAGTTGCGAATCACCATCACCACCACCACCACTGCTGCTGCTGCTGCTGCTACCATCATTATTAAAATTACATGTTTTTTTTGTTTTTAGAAAATTTTTATTAAACTATTATTACTATTATTACTATTATTACTAGTATTATTACTACTAACAATACTACTACTGATATTATTATTATTAAGAATTTCTTCACGTTTATTTTCAGCAAAATCAAGCAGCTCTACAGCAGTGGTCCTTTGATGGGCCCACATCCCAACACTTCTGCATCATTTGTGAATAATCATCAGGCATTTCAGGTAATATTGGTGGTTGTAAACCTCTGCACATATATCAAAAATTAAACAATGATTGTGAGTTCTATTGTCAAATGGTGGGTGAGTATCTAGAAACCCAATTACGTATAGTTTCTACCTTAGGAATTTCATCATGAGAAAGTTGAGTATTATGAACAGATTCTTCAATAAGTTCTTTATGCATATCCTCTGGTGTAAACCTTTGGCTCTTATCATAATAATACGAAGCAAAAAGTTTCTACTATTTAGTTCAGTTAAAATTGTCATGCCTAAATGAATAGGGTAAAATTCTGAGCCATTTTCAGTAGAAATTTCATGCCACCAATGACGAGCAAAAGGTCCATAGTGTAAATTAAAGTCAATTATTCCTCGAGATGCAAGTATTGGTGAATGTAACAATTTAACGTAATACAATCATCTGGATAGATTGATAAGTTTATTAAGGTTATTTATATTAGTTTATATTATTAATTATATTAGTTTATATTATTAATTATATTAGTTTATATTATTATATATTTATCAATCTTATGTATTTCTTATAAAAAGGACATCAATTTAAGTTAATAAAAATAACTTGTAAGTTTACAACAATTAAATTACTTAATTCGTTTAAATAAACCGTTTAAACATTTGAACGTTTACAGTGAAACTTCTTTACATTTAGACATTTAAATAGAAATTTTATATTTATACGATATGTGCAAAAAAAATTTTTCAATATACGAATACAGCTATCTATAAAGTAGATTTGATATAAAAGTATGTTTGATATAAAAAAATAAATTTGAGATATGAAAGAATAATAAAGATTTATATGGACGCGTCTAGGCTAGATTCAGAAAATGAGACTTTTTATTAATAGATATTGACCCCGTTTTTTATTATTAAAAAATATGCCGATCATCTACAATCACGTATCACAGATTAGTAATTCTTTTTTTTATTTTCAAAGATGACTGATTCTAAATCTAAAACAAAACGAAAGAGACAAAAAGAGAACAATTGGGAAGATGTTTCCAGGTAAATGTTTATCATAAGAATGGTGGTCACTCTAGTTAACGTTAAGGTAAGTTTGGATGGAAGGTCTGTGTTCAGTTTGTTATGAAAAAACTTGTCAATCTTGACCTAAGAAACACAAATAAGGAAATTGTTTGCATAAAAAACTATGAACCTTTCTTATATATATGTATATTATCTTTAGTTTTACAAAT